TGTCCAAAATCTTTATTTTTCTTGTATGGAACACTCCCTGTCCCACCGGTGTACATTCCAGGGGCAGGGATATGTTCAGTGCTCAAGGAGGCAAATTTCTTGACCAGCCTCAGTTGAGTTAAAAATAAAACAAGCCAAGAGCTGGGCTATCTCCATGGGTTTGCACCCTCCAAAGGGCAGAGAGCAAAGCAGCTTGGAGCTGGCAATCATTGCTATGGCTAAATTCTGCAATGCCATTCCTGAGCCCTGGTGCAGCAGGAAGCGGGCAAGGGACGATGGGCGGGCAGGGAAGCAATGCAATGCAGAAAGCACTGAAGAAGCTAAAAATTGACAGGGCTGTGGTTTAAAACACATCGGTATTAGGAGGTTATGATAAAAAGAGGGAATAATAAGAAGAAAGGGTTAATAAATAGTTCAACTTGTTTCCTCAAACTGGGATTTAATCAACCTTGAAAAACAATAGTACAGGCTGTACTGTAATGAAAATCTGTGACTAAGGACTGTCCTCCCTGTCTGCAGCTGTGCCCATGCAGAAGCTGCTGAAAGCTGAGCCTATCACATAAAAGCTTTATTGAGGTCATAGGGTCAAAAGAGGAGGAAAAGGCAGAAATATCCCTTTATACAGACTGAATACCTCAACCTTTGAAAAAAAGCCTGCAGACAGCCTGTTGCCTGGGGTTAAAGAACAATGCAGATGGATTGCAGCAACACCAACCATGCCAGAAGCTGTGCTGGCTTCAGTACCTGCTTTTGTCCCTTTCCAGCTGGATCAGGACATCACTGCTGCTGTCAGTAGCTTCCAACACAAGACAAGTGGAAGTGGGAACTGCAGGTGAGCCACACTGATGTCTCGGCACCCCCGTCCCCACCAACCTCACCCTGGGGATCCCAAGGGAGGGCATCTCTGTCCCTCTCCATCATCAGTGGCTCTGCCATGCCAGGATGACACCAGCTGGTTTGGGGGAGCCACATCCGGGACAGTATGTCCTTCCTGGATATTGTTATTCCTCTACCCACACGGAAGCAGGAACACTCCCCTGGGGAGTGAAGAAAGGCCCATGTGTCACCCACTTGACAGCATTGGGCTGCTGCAGTGATCCCCTGCCTGCACCAGCTTCCAGGACAGGCAAGCAGAGGATGAATGGTCACAACAGGTAGGACAGGCTGCTGCCTACCCCAGCCCTGAAGGCTATTAAGGATTAAGGGAGCACTAAGCTCTAAAGTGGACAGAAAGAGCTTATAGCCCTTCCTGTATGTCCTCAGAGCTCTCCTGCTCTTCACTGCAATATTGTCAAAAATCCCCTGTCCTACCTGTGGTGTCTCCAGACCTCTCCTGCCCTCCCCGTGTTGTCTTTGATGCTCTTTTGTCTATCCAGCTTCATCTGACCTTGCACGGGTCCCCTGTGCATCCCCAGAGGGGATGGGACTCTCCCACCACATGGGTGTCCTTTGTCAGAGGGTCAGCAGCCCCTCTTATATAAAAGGGGCCGAGAGGGTGTGGGGCAGCAGCACAGGCAGAGCCACCAACAACAACACCATGGGGACCCTCGGCTGCTGCTGCTGCTCACCCTGATCCTGCTTGTCCTGCACGAGGCTGCAGCCAGGAAGGTAAGGGCAGCCCTGGGGCAGTCTGGCCCTGCTGAGCCATGCTATGCTGTCCCAGGGTGCAGGGTGGCTGGATGAGGGGCTGTGTGCCCTGGCTGTGCCATACCATGTCGTCTGATGAGCTGCATGCTCTTGTTGTGCCCTGCTGTGGCATCTGATGCCATCCCACTCTGTGCCATGCCATCCCACAAGCAGCATGAGTGACCAAGAGACTGCCAGCTCTGGCTGTGCTGCTCCTGGGGGTGCTGTTGGTCACCTCCCCTTGGTATAGGAGGGTATCCATCACTCCCAGCTCTCTCTTGCCCTCCCTGGGAGGAAGAGGTGCTGTCCCAGCCGCTGCCCATGCTGCTGGTCTCTGGTGCCACACAGAGGGGCCTTGCCAGCCCCATACATGCAGGACACATGTCCCACTGCTTAGGGAGGCTGGAGGGATGGCTGTGACTCATCAGTGCCTGAGGCACCCACACAGCCCCCAGTCTTCATTGCTGTCTGTCTGGGGACACAACAAGAAGGGCAGTGGATCTCCCTATCCCCCACCCTTCCCTATCGAGGCTGGCATAGCCTTCAAGTGCTGTGCTGACCGAGAAAGGAGAAAAAGGAAACAAGGTGCCCAGCCCTGGGCAGAATGGCACATGGTTTGGTTAGTGCCAGCCTCTGGCACAGCTGCTCACCACAGAGCCCTTTTCTGCCTCCTGGCCTTGCCCCCCTGCAGGCAGCAGAGGAGCCAGTAAGAGGCAGGGGGCAGGTCTTGCCTGCCATCACAGCTGGAGAGGTGGGTTGGTGCCTTGAGCAAAACTCTACAAGAGCCAGCTGCGATTTGGGCTGGCCCCCTCTCTGCATCCTAGCCCTCCAGCCCAGCCCCAGAAGAAAAAGGGAAGCAGCAAGGGTTCCCTCTTCTGGCTTGGTCCCCTGGCAAAGAAGACAATGAAGAATGAAAGGAGACAGCTGGACAAATTTATTAAGAACTTCAAGTGGTTTATCCCCTTGAATGTGCTCCACTGCCTGCCCCCGGTGCCAGCAGGGAGGGGGGCCATGGTACCAGACCAGGACCTGCTGCTTGGGCTCAGATTGTCACCGTCCAGGGAGCCGGGTCTCCCCTGGGGATTGGATCTGCCACAGGCCCTCCTGGGGCAGAGCCACTCAGTCTGTGCAGTGTCACCCAACCACAACCATCAAAGCCACGTGCCTGCGTGCACCAGTCCAACATCCTCACACACACATCCACACACTTAACGTCCCCACTTTACCCTGCCCGTTGACTACAGGAGAGGTTTACTTGTACCTAACACTAACCCTTCCTCCTGAGCAGGCTGAGAGCTCATCCAGCTAGTGCCTCTCCAAAACCAGCTTCTCACCCTCAGTCACTGGCCAACCCTCCCACGTCTCTTGGGAGTTTGCTTTGGGGACCTGGCCAACCACACCACCCCCATCTGTTTTATGGTCACATTGCTCAGGCTGAGGACTATCTGAGGCCCAGACTTTCTCCTGACAAGGCCACAGGCCCATTTCTCATTAGGTTCTCTCGGCCTCTGCACCAGCTATAGGAGGCATCACGACGCTTTCAAGAGGTGGGACGCTGGCCAGAGTTGGCCAACAGACAGTCCAGGATCAGCAAGGCTTGAGGAAACTTCCTGCCAAAGGCAAAAGTTATGGCCAAACTGGTCTGATGACAACAGAATCTATCTTGCAGCTGCAAAGTGAATGTTGTGGATACAAGCAGATTTGTTTGAGTAAATGCTGGGAATCTTGGGGAAAGAAAGTACAAGTAAAATTCAGCTTCGGTTCAAGGGGAAAAAAAAGTCTTAGTTTGAGTGATTTCCAAAGCAAGTTAATCCTTTCAGTTTTGTAATCGGGTGATGATGCAAAGGGTCGTGGCCTAGAGTGAGAGAGTTTGAGAGAGAGAAGACTGGGGATGAAGAGGTCAGACTCAGAAGCACACGACCCCTGGTGGTTTTCTCTCTACCAGGAGATACCAGAACCTTTTTTCCAAAGTGAAAGTTAAAGACTTGTGAAAGGTCAACAATGGTCACTCCTATTTCAGATGATTACCAGGACAAAAACCTCCCTCCCAGAACAAGGGGGAAAAAAAGTTCAAAACACTAAGGCTGGATCTGAAGACAGTTACCAGAACAGACTGCATTATCATACTGAGCAAGCTCTTGCCAGAACAGAAAAAAAGAACAAAGAAAATCAAAATGAAACCCTACAAACAAAAAGAAACCAAAAGCAACCAACCAATTCCACTGGAGCACAAAAACAACTGGCCAGCCAAGCAAAAAGCAGTCAAGCAGAGGCTGTGATGACACCAGGCAGGAGCTTGCCAGGGGAGGCTGGACACTTCAACCAGACACCTTGGCAGGCTCAAGGGAAAATCAGCAAATCCCTCTCAGCTCTGCTAAAGCCAAGCATCCACACAGCCATTCTTCCTCAGTCTGCCTCTGCAGAGAAGTCCACGGGCTGCTCTGGGGATCACCAAAGGGCTAGTGTGAAGCAGCCATCTCTGGCACAAGCTTTTGGGGCACAGTTTCCTCAGGACCGGGTCACAGGCTTCTCTTACATTTCATTACTGACTCGTGCACGCAGCAAGGACATGTTAATGAGGTTACAAAGAGGAGCGCTGCCAGCCAGGCAAGGGATCAAAATACATGGGAAAACACCTCGATGCTCACAGGAACAGAAGAGAAAAGTTCATCAGTCCCACCTCCAGTGAGTTCAAAGCTCACCAGAGGGCAGGGAAGAGTGCCACCTTCAGCAACACAAGTCCAAGGCTAGGAAAGGCAAGGGACAGTCTGGAGTGCACCACCTTCACTGTTTCCTCCCCAATGTGTATTACTGCAGGTCTGGGCCAGATCCTGCCTGGAGTCCATGCATAGCCCCAGTCCCACCCCTCACAGGAGGGCCTGACCCCAGGCCCATTTCTCATTAAATCCCTCAGTCTTCAGCAAAAAATGCTCCCAGGTAAAGTCACCAGAAACTGCCCTCCTATTTACCAATAGATGATGACGTGGTTCATCACCCTCCCACACACAGAGTCACTCCTTCCTTCAGTCAGCACACTTGTCTGCCTCTCCATCACCACCAGAAACTTTTGGTCTGACAACTGCCCATGGAGCATAAAGAATCCATACAATGGCTCTCCAGTGCTCAGCTCCCTTCCAGATATGGCACCACCAGGAGCTGCTCTTTCCATCCCACCCCACCTGAGGAATCTACAGCCAGTTCTTCTCTTGCAAGTGAAGAGTAACAGACTTGAGGGACCCAAAGAAACCATAGTTAATTCAGATATCAATTTGGGATTTTTTAGGGCAGCAAATAACATGTGGAAAATTTCATACACATTTTTCTCTGTTTTTAGACAAATAGTGTTTTGGAGGCAAGTTCTGCCGCTGGGAACTGAATCCTGGCATTTATAACTATGAAACAGTCCTTGCCAACCAGGTAGGTGCAGCAGGGTATGCAGGGGGAGTCAATGGCACTGCAGCAGTCTGGGTAATTGGGACATCTGTCATTGGGCTCATCTCATTCCCTACGTGTGTTCCTCTCCTCTCCTCTCCTCTCCAGTTCACCGTGTGCCTGCGTTGCAAGGGGTAGACGATTTACCAGCAGGTCTTGTCTGTGGAGAGACCCAGCACTCTGCAGAGCTGGAACTGGGGCTACTGTGGCCACTATGCCTTTTACCACGCCCTGTACCCCCGGGCCTGGATGGTCTATGAGCTCCCGGGGCAGAAGGTGGTGCTCACTTGCCGACAGGTCTCTCCTGTCATCCCCCATGACTATAAGGTAAGGAGGTGATGACATCCCAAAGGGAAGAGCTGCTTATTAGCTGGGCTTTTCCAACATTTCCCCATGTCTCTGCTCAGCAATGGTCCCAGGCAGGGGGAACCCCTGCAGCAATGCGGGAGCTCGGGATGGCAGCAAGGGATGGCTCAGCGCTCCCTCACGCTGCTCGTGCTGGCTCCCAGCCCCAGATGAGGGTGGCAGGCTGTGCTGCTGACACATCTGACCTTCCTCTTACCCCAGGGAAGCACGTGAGCCTGTATCAACCTGCCAGGCAGCTGAGGGATGAGACACCCGGCCAAACCTTAAATGCCGCTTTTCGTCTCCCTCTTGCCGGGTGTGGTGTTTGCTAGCCCAGGGCTCCTCTTCTGAATTTTGTATTGCCTGCCCCATAAATTCCTCTGCTCCTGCTGGTCCTCCTCAGCTTGGCAACAGACTTCAAGACTGAGTTGTTCCTTGTAGCAGTGAATCTGATGAGAAACTGGTATAAACATGTTTCAAAATGGCTTTTTGTATTTTCTGCAGTGTCACTGCCTCCCTCTTCCCAACACCCCCCTGTGAAGGGCTATTGTCTTCCATACAGAGTGTCCTGGGAAGGTGTCCTGAGGTGTTTCTCACTGGTCCTTTGTTAACCCCTTCCTATTGGCTGTTGACCCTTTACCTGATGGTTTTTTCTGTGTGACCCTGAACTTGTGATTGGTTTTCCCTTTGACCCTCCTAAAAGCTTTATAAACCCCTTCCCAACAATAAAGTCTCTCTTGCCTCCTCTCCACGCCAGTGTGCTGTCTCTGTGCCTGCCATGGAGCCACGTGGGTGCTGGGGAGGGAGGGGAGGGCAGCTCTCCCCTCCAGGCTCGGGGCCTGAAAAACCCTGTCACTGGAGTCCCCTTTCCCCGTCCTTCAAGACGTCGGAATGGTTCTTCAGATGGAGATGGAACTAGAACTGGGCTCCTCCACGTCGTGGGTGGGGAAAGGGAACCAGAGTTCCTGGTGCTCTTGATCCTCCCCCTGTGTCCTGCGTGGTTTCCCCTGCAGTGAGAGAAATCATCCTCCGGCAGCCAATGGTGGAGCACCAGCCATGTACACGGCATTCTCTGTCTCTGCCAGGACTCCAGCCTGCCAGTGGAAGTGTTCATTTGGGAGGTGGAGAACGGGAGGGATGAGGACATGGAAGTGTCCACCATGTTCAGCCTGCAGAACGGCATGGGAAGGAAGGAGGACAGGAGCGGAGGGCACTGGAACGAGCCCTTTGCCTTGGAGAAGGATGGCGAGCGAGTTGCTGGAGTCCTGCTGCACCACTGCACGAGTGTGAACCCCTTCACTCTCGCCATCTCTGCCCAGGAGAAGGTAAAGAGCTACCCTGGTGGTGTGGCTCCTGCTGGAGGGTTGTGCATCTCTTCTGGCTGGGTGCTGGCTGGGGTGGAGCTGCTTCCAGGCAGCTGGTAAAGGACGAGTGGGCGATGGGCTGGGGCCGGCACTGGTTCTCAGCGCTTGCCTGATCTCAGAGGTGGGGACATGACTTCCCTGAGGGCAACCTGTTTGTGGCTAAGTGGCAAGAGAGAAGCTGTGGGTGAAGCTTGCAGGGCAGTGGGTGAGTAGGTTTGGAGTTGCACTTGGAGCGCAAGAAGCAGGGAGCGAGTGTGACGTACCAGTGTTGTTGTTGGGGGTGGAGAGCCTGCGTCTGCCCCTCCAAAGTACCAGCCCCTGAGGATTCTCTTCCCTTCTCCAGGCTGGCACGGGAGTCACCCACCTGACGGCATTCAATCCCACGGGATTGGGTAGAGAGGTGTGGCAGGACCTCCTGCAGGATGGCAGGCTGGATTCACCCACCGGTGAGTCCCTCCATCCTCCATGGGACACGTGAAGGGGGAGTAGGGGCAATGGGTGACCCCTGGTTGTGGGGCACAGGGTACCTGAGCCAAGGCAGAATTCCCTTCCTCCAGCCACCTTGGTGCCATTGCTAAAAGCTCTGTGGGATGCTTGGGCTTCTTCCCAACTTTAGGCTGTATCCAACCTTTCCGTTGCTTGTCCTTGTGTGCTTCTCTAAAAGAGTGGTGTTCACAACACTTTGGGGCTGTTCCTGGCATTATTAGTTCCAGGTGCCAGTATCTCCTTAGTCTGTGTGGGGTTGCCCACTGAGCTGGGGTTTGTGTTGGGTAGCCAGGGTGCTGCCCAGCCACCTTCCCTCAGTCCCTGTTGCCAGATGAGTGAGCTGTGTCCCATCAGATTGGTTCCAGCAGGCGTTTAGCAGCCCTTGGCATTTGGTGCTGCCATCACTTGCTGTCTGCTTGTTACTGTACCAGTTCCCCAAAGGTCTCCGTATTCCCTCGATAACTCTGCATCATCCTTCAGCTGTCTGCTCGCTCCCTTGGGAGGAGCCTGGAAGCAGGGTGCTTCAGGCAAGGTCCCAGCCCTTGCTGCTCACCTCCTCTTGCCATGAAAGGTGACCATTTGCCTAATGTCTCTGTCAGCTTTTAAGCAAGGATGATACTGACAAACTAGTGATGCTGATATTGGGTCTTTGCAATATTTCTTGGACCTTACATTCTGTAAATGAAGTGTTTGTGTGAATATTTCTGGAAAAATAAGCTTCCTGCCTGGATGCATTCAGAGCTCTTCAGGCTATTGGGATGTGGTTTTCCTTCATGAATGCCAGATATTATCATAGTCAGGATCTGTGCTTATGTTAAAATTGTTGCTCTAATGAGTTTACCTTGTACACATGTCACAACCAGCATATAATTATGCAGCTGCCTCAGGGCTTTTCTTAAACACCAGCATGGCTCAAACACCCTGCAAAAAGCTGGAAACAATGACTGTCACCAGAAAGTCAGTGTCTCTGAGCAGCACAAAGTCATGGGACTTCTGTGCCTTCCACTCATGCCTGGTGGCTTTTCCTGCCTGATTTGTTCCTCTGCTTTGACGGAGGACTCCGCCCATGGAATGGATCTTTTCCTGCAGCAACAGTCATCCCTTAAAACCCTGGGGCTGTAACTTGCAGGTTGCAGCGGGGCTGTGCTGTGCCCAAAGGGTCTCAATCCCCTCTGGGGTGTGTGTGATCTTCATTTACCCCTTCACAGGACTTCCTTGGTCCCTTACGAATACGATCATTTTTCCCATCAGGTCAAAGCAGCCTGACGGAGAAGGGGGAGGTGACGGCAGCGGCGGTGTGTGCCAGCTGCAGAGTGCCTGCCCGGGGACACAGGACACTGGAATTGGCCCTGGCTTGGGATATGCCGTGTGTTCACTTTGGCTCCAAGGAGAAGCCGCCCTTCAAGTGGGTGGGTTGTCTCCAGTGGAGCCTGTGCCTCGCCTTCCCCATTGCTCAGGGCTCTGATAAGCCTGCAAGCTCACCAGCCATTCCAAACGGGGGCTGGTCTCTTGCCCAATGGCACAGGAGTCCTCTTGTGCAGTCAGAGGGTTGGGTAAGGTGGGGACCTGGCCTGTAGGAAAAAAAAGTGTGGGTGCATGTGTGTGTGAGGATGTTGGACTGGTGCACGCAGGCACGTGGCTTTGATGGTTGTGGTTGGGTGACACTGCACAGACTGAGTGGCTCTGCCCCAGGAGGGCCTGTGGCAGATCCAATCCCCAGGGGAGACCCGGCTCCCTGGACGGTGACAATCTGAGCCCAAGCAGCAGGTCCTGGTCTGGTACCATGGCCCCCCTCCCTGCTGGCGCCGGGGGCAGGCAGTGGAGCACATTGAAGGGGATAAATCACTTGAAGTTCTTAATAAATAAAGCTGTCTCCTTCCATTCCTTATTGTCTTCTTTGCCAGGGGACCAAGCCAGAAGAGGGAGCCCTTGCTGCCCTCCTTTTTCTTCTGGGGCTGGGCTGGAGGGCTAGGGATGCAGGGATGGGGCCAGCCCAAATCGCTATAAAAGCCCAGTCCCTCTTTTTAACGGCAGGGTCCTTGAACACACCCCTGCTTGGAATGTGTGTGGAGTTTCCTCCCTGGAATGGGGATAACCCTCAAGGCTACTCCTGGAGTCTGAGCAAAAGAGATTTGCCCACAGTCATTGGTATGGGTGGGTAATATCAGACTCTACTTCACAATTGTTTTTGTTGGCTTTAATATAGCTTCAAAATAGTGGCATTATACTATACTAGTAGTATAGTAGCTTCCATTCTGTGTAGCTTCCATAGCTTCCATACTCTGTAGTTAAATGAAGATATTTTTGTCTAATTATTGTAGTAAATCACTTCCTTTTATAAAAATATATCTGGTTTGCCATCCTTAATTCTGTGCCAAGACACAGTCCCGCTTTCAGCTTCACAATGGGAATGTGAATGCATGTGGGATGCATGTCCCATGGCAAAGACCCTCTGCCTGGCATCTGGGACTGCTGGCACCAGTGGGACAGCACCTCTCCCTCCCTGGGCAGGGCAAGGAAGAGCTGGGGGTGCTGGGTACTGCCCTATATGAGGGTCAGGTGACCAACAGTACCCCCAGGGCCAGCACCATCAGAGCTGGCAGCCCCCTTGGTCACACAAGCTGTGCTGTGGGATGGCATGGCATTGCATGGCATGGCATGGTGTAGGATGGCATAACATGGCTTGGCACAGGATGGCACAGCAGGGCACACCCAGAGCACGCAGCCCCTTGTCCACAAACACTGTGAGCTGGGGTGTCACAGGACAGCAAGGCATGGCACAGTGAAAACATGCAACCCCCTCAAGCCCTGCACACTGTGCCCCAGGGCTGGCACAGCGTGGCACAGGACAGCAGAGGATGGCATAGCACAGCATGGCACCAGAGAGCAGAGCCTGGCACAGCAACAGCAGGCAGCCCTGTGCCTGCTCACAGTGCACCACAGGGATGGTGGTGCACAACATGGCACAGCCAGGGAGTGACAACCTCATCCAGCCACCCTCCTGCCTGGGAAAACACAGTACAGCACGGCCAGACTCTGCCCCAGGGCTGCCCTTACCTTCCTGGCTGCAGCCTGGTGAGGGATGAGCAGGGCCAGGGTGAGCAGCAGGCAGCAGCTGAGGGTCCCCATGGTGTTGTTGGTGGTGGCTCTGCCTGTGCTGCTGCCCCACGCCCGCTTGGCCCCTTTCATAACAGAGGGGCTGTGGTTGGGCAGCAACCGCCCCTGCGGGGCCTCCTGCCAGAGGACAGCCATCAGATGGGAGAGCCCCATCCCCTCTGGACGGTGATGGAGTCCATGAGGACAGCGCGGGATGGGGCAGGAAGCATGGCCTGAGCAGCAGGTCAGGAGAGCATCAAAGATGTCACAGGGAGGGCAGGAGCATCTCAGAGTGGAGGACTGGGGAGATCTTTGGACATCACAGGGAGTGTGTAAGATCTCTGGGGACAACACATGAAGGGCAGAGGATCTCAGGGGACATCACAGTGGAGGACAGAGGAGATCTGGGGACACCTCACAGATAGGGCAGGGGAGGTCTGGGGACACCACTGGAAGGGAAGGAGATCTCTGATGACATGACAGTGCAGGACAGGAGAGCTCTGGGGACACCACAGGCAGGGCTATAAGCTCACTCTCTCTGCCTTAGATCTTTTTTATTCTAAAGAACTCCCTTAATACTTAATAGCCATGAGGGCTGGGGGAAGGAAGCAGCGTATCCTGCCTGCTGTGACCTTCCTTTCCCCACTTGCCTGTTCTGTGAGCTGATGCAGGCAGCACATCGCTGTGGTGCCCAAGTGCTGCCAGCAGGTGACAAATGGTCTTTTCTTTGCTCCCTAGGGGATTGTTCCTGGGCAGAGGAATAATGTTGTCTGGGAAGAGCAAGTTCCCAGATGCAGTCCCCCCTTGACCAGCTGGTGTCCTCCCATGGCAGAGCCCACAGCCAAGGAAGAGGGACAAAGGTGCTCTCCCTTAGGGTCACCGTGGTGAGGCTGGAAGGGTACTGTGGTACCAGGATAAGGGTGCAGCTCACCTGAGCTGTCCACTTGCATTTATCTTGGAACAAAGGGATTCTGGAAATACCAGCTGAAACCAACCCCTCATATGGCTGGTAAATTTGGAACCACAGAGATTGCCCAATGCCCTGGTCAGAGCTGCCACCCACAGCCCTGGCAGCAATAAAAAGGAGAAGGAGCAGGAGCATTGGCAGAGTCCTGCAAGGAGCACCTCCCCAGGTACATCAGCTGTCTGCCTGCTGCAGAGATGGTGCAAGCAACTCTATTTCTCTTGGTGCTCCATGTGAGACCCCCAGCCCTCTGAACTCTCCTGCCTGCTTTCCACATCCCCAATGTCCCAGGGGCCAGGCACAGCAGGGCTCTACTGTCCCAAGTGCTGGGGCAGGCACTGACCTGACACCCTGGCCAATGCATCACCGCACCTCCTCTCCTGTCCCTGCAGACTCCATCACCATTTTCACGGGACAATGCTTCGTGGACAAGGATGGAAAGGAGACTTTGAGGACCATGTGGCTTCTGTGGTCCCATGTGGACGACCTTGAAAATGACTGGAAAGCCACCATGTGAGCTCCCTGTCCCTGCCCTGCACAGATTCCCTGTACATCCCAGGGGCTTTGGGTTGCCTACACCATCACTGTCAAAGGTGTTGGCAAAAGCAGGTTTAATATCAGTTTGTAAAAGCATGACTTAACAAAGTTCAATGGCAAGGTTCATTCTATTGCTTACTGCATGGGTAAAAACATTCAAAGGAAAAAGGCGTGAGAATCAATTTGGAATGATTTATGTGGAGACTGGAGATGGAAAAGGATAAGGGAGATGCTCCCATTGAATCCCACTGGAGTTCAGAGAGTAGTTCCTCCTTGCTTTCTGAACTGCTGAAAGATGTGTGGCTGATTCCAGTTCTAGTCCAAGACTTGCTCAGTGCTTTCTGTCTAAAGGATTTGGCAGCATTTAATCATTGATTGATTTAACATCCTAAAGTGCTTTAGGATGCTTTGCCACAATTATAACAGAGACATAACTATAGATCCGATCTGGCAGCAGTCCTACTACACTTGCTATGGGGAGTTTACATCCATTCACAGATGTGCTCAGAGGGAGATGCTGGCACAGCCAACAGGCCAGAAAGCCCTGGGGTGGCACTTGGAGGACGAACGGGGATGGGAGTGGGGATGGGAACAGGGATGGGGCATTGGAGGAGAGGAGGATGTTGAAGAGGCGTGGGAGTTTGGAACGGGGGTGGGAATGGGGACAAGGGTGAGGGATAGGGAATGTGGATAGGGATGGAGATGGGGACAGGAACAGAGATGGGGCTGGATAGCAGGGGTTGGGGGGATGGGGACGGGGCAAGGATGAGGCTTGAAGGTGGGGATGAGGGTGGGGATGGGGACTGGAATGGGAGTGGGAATGGGCATGGGGACTGGAACAGGGGTGGAAATGGACATGGCGTCTGGAATAGAGATGGGAACGGGGATGAGTGGGAACCAGGATGTAGGAGGGATTGTGTGGGGCTTCCCATTGGCATCACCCAGTCTGGGGGATCTTAGCCCCATGTCTACTGGTTGAGGGCTGTGTCTGGGCTTCCACCCTGCCCTGCAGGAACTTGAGGCACTGTGTGCTTTCTGCCCCAAAATCCCTGCCCCATCCGACAGTTGCTTCCCCCAGCCATCCCGCAGTCCAAGGCAGGCTCTGCACCTCTCCCTGCCCACACAGCTTCTCCCTCTGGTGCTCAGGAGCAGGAGCTGGGAGCTGCACAGTACACATTATGTAACTAACGAAACTTCATGAGTTGCTGAAATGATGGATTAGTGAGTTCCAGTTTCAGTCATATCAGTGCAAAGGGCCCCTGTTTGGTTTGTTCCCTTTCCTAATTAGCTGATAAAACAAAGTTTAAGGTACAGATGACATCCTGTGAATTTGAACATCATAAAAGATCTGTACCCTGTTCCACCCTCTCACTAATCAGGGGACAGGCAAGTATTGGGAAATACATGCAGAGCTGTGCCCATAGACCATGGAGCCCTTCAGTATGTGGCTTTAGCCACCCAGTCTCCCCAGCAGCTTCCCCTGGAGCTCCAGGTCCCTCTCATGTTCCCTCCAGTATCCAGCATGGCTTTTGGACCACGCCAACATCCCGGATTGCAATCTGTGGAGCCTGGCACCCAGCTCTCCCCTACATGTGCACCAAGCCCACCATCCCCAGCAGGAGTTGGAAATGGAGGCAGAGACACAGGATGAGGCCAGCTGACAGTAGTGGCTTGCCAGCATGCAGCCTTCACCCTGATCCCTGGCTGTGGGGTATCCCGCTGCTCCACGCTGGGGATGCTGCCTGGGGCCACCCACCACAAGGCCCCTGTGAATGTCCCAAACATGCATGTGCAAGAAGGCACCTGCTGAGGCCTGAAGCCATGGTCAGGAAGCAGAATTACCCAGCACCTGTACTTCTCCTGTCCCCCAGCCCCATCCCTTCCAGCCCCTCCAAAACATTTCCCTCTGCTCCCCCAGTCACCACCCGTCCCCCCCCTTGCTCTGCCCATGGCCACAGAGTGGCTGCTTGCACCCCAGGGACACATGGGGCACGGCTCTCTGCCAGCTGGAGAAGGCTTTATTTGCTCCACGTGTGGGAGCAGCAAGCTTTGGGAAGGGAGAGCCCCACCAGCACGTTGCTGGGAGGCACTGGGAAGAAACAGGGCAAGGTGAGGGTGTGTTTCCTGTGCAGGATGCTGGGAGCAGGCAGGAGCCCAGCCTGAGACTGCTACAGTGGAGAGCCTTGGGGATGCAGAAGGACAGCAGGCTGCAGGCAGCTCTGGGCCCTTTTCCCATCACTTGAGGCGGGTGAAGATGGAGGTGCCAACCCTGCGAGGAAGACATGTCAGGAGGAGGGGAGTGAGGGCTGTGGGGTGGGAGAGCCAGGACAGGGCTCAGCTGGTGGCTTTCCAGGTGTCCCTGTGGGATGGGACCTCTTCCCACATGTGGAGCTATGTGGTTTCCAGTGTCTCCTTCCCATGGTGATCCACAAAGCACTGGCCTACAAAGGCCGTGGTGGAGTCTGGCAGCGTTGGAGAGAGGCAGAGGGGGTTGAGAGCTTGCACCTCAAGACAGAGACACCTGGGCCACCTGATGTTGGCAGACAGACAGACAGACAGACAGACAGACAGACAAACACCACGCAGCACATTCCCTGGACAGAGAGATGGACCAGCCTGCCAGATTGGCCAGATGGGCTGGCTCCACATCACCCGGACAGACAGATGGGCTCCAACTCTGCCATGTCCCTCAGACACACAGGTGGACACCCCTGCCACCTTTCCCAGACAGACAGCCCCGCTACGCACCCCAGACAGGCACCTCTCCCATCAGCACATCCCAGGGCAGAAGCAAGTGTGTGTGGGCAGTCTGTGCCCACAGCCAGAGTTCCTCTGGACATTCTGAGTGCTGTGGGGGACCAGCTGGAGGGCTCCCCACTCCCAGCACGGGCAAGGTACTGCTGGGCCCCTGGCAGGGGTGACCCCAGGCTCTGCTTGTTGGTGGCTGTCACAGCAGTGTGGTAGAAGCCTGAGAAGGTGCCGACTGTGTTCAGGGCCAAGAGGGTCATGTTAGAGCTCAGCTCACTCCTCCACAGGCCCTGCAGGTCACACTGGGGACTGGGAGTTGTGTGGGTGCCTCAGACACTGCTGAGCCACGGTCCCCCCTCCAGCCTCACTGAGCAGTGGGAGGTGTGTCCCATGGCATGGCCCCTCCATGTGGCAGCTGGGAATGATGGCATGGGCACCAGCTGGGACAGCATTTCCCTCTCCCTGGGCAGGGCAGGGGAGAGCTGGGGGTGCTGGGTACTGCCCTATCCCAGGCCCAGGTGACCAACAGTGCCTACAAGGACAGCACAGTCAGAGCTGGCAGGCCCCTTGGTCTCACACATGCTGCACTGTGGCATGGCATGGCATGGCATGGCATGGCATGGTGTGAGAGATGGCATAGGATGGCACATCAGGGTACCTCAAGGCTGCATCAGAGCATTCAGCCCCTCAGGCAGAAATAACATAAACAATGTGAGCTGGGGTGGCACAGGCCAGCACTGCATGGCACAGTGAAAACATGTAAACCTCCCCCCCCAGGCCCTGCACACTCTGTCCCAGGGCTGGCAGAGCATGGCACAGGACAGCATGGCAGAACAGACTGTGGCACAGCACAGCACAGCACAGCACAACGTGGTACCAGAAAGCACAGCAAGAGCAGGCAGCCTCCTTGGCAGTTTACACTGCACCCCAGGATGGCAGAGCCTGCCACAGCAACAGCAGGCAGCCCTGTGCCTGCTCTCAGTGCACCACAGGGATGGTGGTGCACAGCATGGCACAGCCAGGGAGTGACAACCGCATCCAGCCACCCTCTTCCCTGTGGTAGCACAGCACAGCACGGCCAGACTCTGCCCCAGGGCTGCCCTTACCTTCCTGGCTGCAGCCTGGTGAGGGATGAGCAGGGCCAGGGTGAGCAGCAGGCAGCAGCTGAGGGTCCCCATGGTGTTGTTGGTGGTGGCTCTGCCTATGCTGCTGCCCCACGCCCGCTTGGCCCCTTCCATAGCAGGGGGGCTGTGGTTGGGCAGCGGCCGCTCCTGCGGGGCCTCCTGCCAGAGGACACCCGGTGGGAGATTGGCCACCGGCCATTGCTCCAGCTGAGCAGGGTCTGGCTCCCCTGGGCCAGGGGGGGTCCTGGGGACCATGGGGGGGTGGCAGGGCTGTAGAAGAGGACCCTGGAGGGTCACAGCAGGGGACACACATTGGGTCTCAGGTATGCTGACAGAAGGGACTGCGTGACGCCATGGGGAGAATGGGGGAACGTCCGTGCTGAGCCATGGAATTGTTGTCCAGAATAATTGGATTTGTTCCCCGGTGTGCAACAAGCCAATAATTACACACTCGACACAGACACTGGTCATTTATTTCAGAGTTGCACAAGCCTGGGTGTTCAGGAGTATTCCACAAATCAAGCACATCAGCTATCAGCACTTTTTCCTGTTTATACATTTTAGCAAACAAAGGCATTAATGTTCTTTGGCTACAAGTTACCTAGTTCTTCCATTAGTTAGTGTTCTATCTGCTATTCATTAGCGATTCTCTGATTTCTCCTGCTAAGTAGTCTGCAGGCTCACTCTTTCTCTTCTTTTGAGTCAGTGGGTTTCCAGACTCAGTGGGCAATAAGCCGATGGTCACGATCTCCCCCTGCCGGAATTCCTTTCTACCCAGTCGGAGCTGGTTCAGCACAGTTGCTGAGTTATCCATATTAGTTTCTTCCGTATCTTGGGGGTTCTGCCAAATGTCCTTGTGGCCCCTAAATGCTGTATTCTTTTGGTTCACTAGCAGTGGTACATCCTTCTTCCCAAGATTTGTTGACCTCCCCGTAGGTCTGAGATCATGGAAGCCTGTCCAGCCCTAAACCATAACGAGGCAATTCTACCAAGAAGTAATTTGTATTTCTAACACCCAGATGTCACTTAGAGCTTGTTAGCTGCTATCTGTTTCATGGATTAAATCTCCCTTTTTGTTGATCAGTCTTGAAAACATACAAAGATCAAACATCAAAGAACATACTTTCTTAAGAATGTTTTTTACATACTCCACAGTTTTCAACATCAAGACAGGAAACAGTGGAGCTTTGCAACAAAGCTTTATTGGGAGAAACAAGTGGTGGGGCAGGAGTGGGGGCTTCCCCCCCAGTGTTGCTGCCGGCCTGGGAACGCCCCTGCTGCCCTTCTCACTCCTTCTGCGACTGCACACGGGTGAAGATGTTGGTGCCGACCCTGCAGGGACACAGAAGAAGATGTAAGGGTGGCACATGACAACGTCCAAATGCCCAGCCAGCCCTGTATTCTCCCATAGCATTTTCACCTTAGTGGGACTGCAGAGGCTGTTATTTTGACATGCTTTTACCCATGCAGCAAGCAATGGAGTGAACTTTGCCACTGAACTTTGCTAAGTCACACTTTTACAAACTGATATTGAAGCTGCTTTTGCCAACACCTTTGACAGTGACGGTGCAAGCAACCCAAACCACTCATTTGTAACAGTTCCAACACCCCCCAGGGATGCATGGGGAATCTGTGCAGGGCAGGGACAGGGAGCTCACCTGGTGGCTTTCCAGTCATTTTCAAGGTTGTCCATGCGTGACCGCAGAAGCCACATGGTCTTCAAAGTCTCCTTTCCATCCTTGTCCACGAAGCATTGTCCCGTGAAAACGGTGATGGAGTCTGCAGGGACAGGAGAGGAGGTGCAGTGATGCATTGGCCAGGGTGTCAGGTCAGTGCCTGCCCCAGCACACGGGACAGTAGAGCCCTGCTGTGCCTGGCCCCTGGGACACTGGGGATGTGGAAAGCAGGCAGGAGGGTTCAGAGGGCTGGGGGTCTCGCATGGAAATGGGCAGACAGCTGTGGGCTTCAGTCTCTGTTGCATCTCCTGCCCACTGGGACTGGGAGGTGACAGCAGCCAAGGAGCTCCAGGGATAAGGCTGGGGGAGCATCAGGGGCACCAGAGGGGATGAGAGAGCACTGGTATAGTGCAGGGGAAGGCAGAGAATCAGCAAGGACGCTGCAGGGAGGGGCAGAAGAGCTTCCAGGGCATCGCAGTAGGGAGGGCAGGGCAGGTCTGGAGACACACCCGGGAGGTTGGGAAAGGAGAAGTACCTGAATAGCTCCAGTTGACAGTGAAGCCAAAGGTGGGCTGGCCCTTCCGGTTTTTGCGTTGCAGAGACCCTTGCAGGGGTGACACTTTGATCTCGTTCGTGGTGACTGTCACAGCCGTGAGGTAGGAGCCGGAGAAGACACCGTCTCCATTCACAGCCGAGATGGTCATGTTGGAGCCCAGGTCATTGACCCAGTGCCCGATCAGGTTGCACTGCAGCAGAGGGGACTCAGCACAGGTACCACAGCACAGCCTGCAGCCCTTGCTCACCCTGCCCATCCTGCCCTCTGCATCCCAGACCTGATCTTACCTTTTTTGGAGAGAGGCTGTGAGCCCCCAGGGCCAGGCTGAGCACCAGGAGGAAGACAGTTGCTTGCACCATCTCTGCAGCAGGCAGACAGCTGATGTACTTTGGGGATGTGCTCCTTGCAGGACTCTGCCAATGCTCCTGCTCCTTCTCCTTTTTATTGCTGCCAGGGCTGTGGGTGGCAGCTCTGGCCAGGGCATTGTGCAATCTGGGTGTTTCCAAAGTCTTGGTTCCTAGCCATATGAGGGGGTAATTGCAGCAGATATTCCCAGAAAAGACTGCTGGAAATGCCCCTCCTTGCTTCCCCTGCACCTTGCAGATCAAATCTGGCTTCTGCCAGGACTGTCGGCAATGGTGAGATGGGAAAACCCCTCTCTGGACCTGTTGTCCATTCTGCCACCTATTTGCCACATCACTGCTGTGCCCCGGAGTGCCAGGAGCCTTAAAGCCAGTGCACCTCAGGACTGGCCACAGCACACAGCTCACCCTGCTCTTCCTCACCAGACATGATCATGCAAACCCACCCAGCATCCGGATTCCCTCGGGATTTGTTTTTGGCCCTCCACACTCAAAGTGCCCCGTCCCCTCTCACCTGGAGCTGACATGAATGTTTGCTGCTCTTTTTACAAACTGGCTTGTGTTTCTTGGAAGGAAATTATTTAGTTAATGGAAAACCAATATTTCCTGAATATCTTAGACATTGCATGTTAATGCTGACAAAAGTTGTACTTACGCAGGGATTCTTGAATCTCTGTAAGTACATATTGTATAACTCCCCTTACGTTATAGTGGTTGCTGGCCAGGAAGGCTGAAGTGTCTGGGTTCATGCCAGAGTTTCTCACCCATCTCTCAATGTTTTTCAAGGCAGTCTCCAAAAATATGTTTTAATTCCCCCAGTCCTCATAGCAAGAGTTGATGGAGCCCTATTCACCAGGAAATAATCCTTTTCTTAAAATGGAGACAGGGCAGCTCTTGGCCACATCTCAGAAATACTTTTCAAATTTGTCTTTCTCTTTAATCTCACATTTGAGCCCCAGTTTCTCCCTGACAGTAAAATTCAATGCTATCCAGGCTGGAGAGCCCTGCATTTCTGCTGCTGGCTTCTCCACAACCTCCATTCCTCTCTCCAGGAGTCCCACAGCCCTCTGGCACCTTGCCTGCAAGAGATCCCTGTCCAGAGGGCTGGCTGCCTGCAGGACATTCCTACCCCAGTATTTGTTGTCTCAGAAATTAACTGCACAACCAGGTATGTTTTCCCACATAGCTGCTGTTTGCTCTGACTGTTTTTTGGCAAGCAGGTGCTGCCTGGAGTGTGGCCGACGTTTGTGATAAAGGTCAGGGTTGGTCTGGAAAGGTTTCAGGGGGCAAGAGAGGCACACATCGCCCCTCTCTATTACACCCTTGCCATCTGCCCTCTGTTATCACCCCCTCTCTATCACCCCCTTGCCATCACCATGGTTCAGGGAGCTCCTGCTCCAGCGGGGACCCTGGGGATGGGCAATGCAAGGTCTCCATGCCCAGCAACCCATAGCTCATTCACAGCTGTAGGTTCAGTTTAGCATCACACAAACCATATTGGTTATTTCTGTCCAAAATCTTTATTTTTCTTGTATGGAACACTCCCTGTCCCACCGGTGTACATTCCAGGGGCAGGGATATGTTCAGTGCTCAAGGAGGCAAATTTCTTGACCAGCCTCAGTTGAGTTAAAAATAAAACAAGCCAAGAGCTGGGCTATCTCCATGGGTTTGCACCTTCCAAAGGGCAGAGAGCAAAGCAGCTTGGAGCTGGCAATCATTGCTATGGCTAAATTCTGCAATGCCATTCCTGAGCCCTGGTGCAGCAGGAAGCGGGCAAGGGACGATGGGCAGGCAGGGAGGCAATGCAATGCAGAAAGCACTGAAGAAGCTAAAAATTGACAGGGCTGTGGTTTAAAACACATCAGTATCAGGAGTAACCATGAAAAATAAGGGTTAATCATAAGAAGTTATAATAAGAAGAAAGGGTTAATAAATAATTCAACTTGTTTCCTTAAACTGGGATTTAATCAGCCTTGAAAAACAATAGTACAGGCTGTACTGTAATGAAAATCTGTGACTAAGGACTGTCCTCCCTGTCTGCAGCTGTGCCCATGTAGAAGCTGCTGAAAGCTGAGCCTATCACATAAAAGCTTTATTGAGGTCATAGGGTCAAAAGAGGAGGAAAAGGCAGAAATATCCCTTTATATAGACTGAATACCCCAACCTTTGAAAAAAAGCCTGCAGACAGCCTGTTGCCTGGGGTTAAAGAACAATGCAGATGGGTTGCAGCAACACCAGCCATGCCAGAAGCTGTGCTGGCTTCAGTACCTGCTTTTGTCCCTTTCCAGCTGGATCAGGACATCACTGCTGCTGTCAGTAGCTTCCAACACAAGACAAGTGGAAGTGGGAACTGCAGGTGAGCCACACTGATGTCTCGGCACCCCCGTCCCCACCAACCTCACCCTGGGGATCCCAAGGGAGGGCATCTCTGTCCCTCTCCATCATCAGTGGCTCTGCCATGCCAGGATGACACCAGCTGGTTTGGGGGAGCCACATCCGGGACAGTATGTCCTTCCTGGATATTGTTATTCCTCTACCCACACGGAAGCAGGAACACTCCCCTGGGGAGTGAAGAAAGGCCCATGTGTCACCCACTTGACAGCATTGGGCTGCTGCAGTGATCCCCTGCCTGCACCAGCTTCCAGGACAGGCAAGCAGAGGATGAATGGTCACAACAGGTAGGACAGATAAGGGCAGCCCTGATGCAGTCTGGCCCTGCTGAGCCATGCTATGCTGTCCCAGGGTGCAGGGTGGCTGGATGAGGGGCTGTGTGCCCTGGCTGTGCCATACCATGTCATCTGATGAGCTGCATGCTCTTGTTGTGCCCTGCTGTGGCATCTGATGCCATCCCACTCCGTGCCATGCCATCCCACAAGCAGCATGAGTGACCAAGAGACTGCCAGCTCTGGCTGTGCTGCTCCTGGGGGTGCTGTTGGTCACCTCCCCTTGGTATAGGAGGGTATCCATCACTCCCAGCTCTCTCTTGCCCTCCCTGGGAGGAAGAGGTGCTGTCCCAGCCGCTGCCCATGCTGCTGGTCCCTGGTGCCACACAGAGGGGCCTTGCCAGCCCCATACATGCAGGACACATGTCCCACTGTTTAGGGAGGCTGGAGGGATGGCTGTGACTCATCAGTGCCCGAGGCACCCACACAGCCCCCAGTCTTCATTGCTGTCTGTCTGGGGACACAACAAGAAGGGCAGTGGATCTCCCTATCCCCCACCCTTCCCTAACGAGGCTGGCATAGCCTTCAAGTGCTGTGTTGACCGAGAAAGGAGAAAAAGGAAACAAGGTGCCCAGCCCTGGGCAGAATGGCACATGGTTTGGTTAGTGCCAGCCTCTGGCACAGCTGCTCACCACAGAGCCCTTTTCTGCCTCCTGGCCTTGCCCCCCTGCAGGCAGCAGAGGAGCCAGTAAGAGGCAGGGGGCAGGTCTTGCCTGCCACCACAGCTGGAGAGGTGGGTTGGTGCCTTGAGCAAAAGACCATGTGGCTTCTGCGGTCACGCATGGACAACACTGAAAATGACTGGAAAGCCACCAGGTGAGCTCCCTGTCCCTGCCCTGCACAGATTCCCCATGCATCCCTGGGGGGTGTTGGAACTGTTACAAATGAGTGGTTTGGGTTGCTTGCACCGTCACTGTCAAAGGTGTTGGCAAAAGCAGCTTCAATATCAGTTTGTAAAAGTGTGACTTAGCAAAGTTCAGTGGCAAAGTTCACTCCATTGCTTGCTGCATGGGTAAAAGCATGTCAAAATAACAGCCTCTGCAGTCCCACTAAGGTGAAAATGCTATGGGAGAATACAGGGCTGGCTGGGCATTTGGACGTTGTCATGTGCCACCCTTACATCTTCTTCTGTGTCCCTGCAGGGTCGGCACCAATATCTTCACCCGTGTGCAGTCACAGAGGGAGTGAGAAGGGCAGCAGGGGCGTTCCCATGTCGGCAGCAACACTGGGGGGAAAGCCCCCACTCCTGCCCCACCACTTCTTTCTCCCAATAAAGCTTTGTTGCAAAGCTCCACTGTTTCCTGTCTTGATGTTGAAAACTGTGGAGTATGTAAAAAACATTCTTAAGAAAGTGTGTTCTTTGATGTTTGATCTTTGTATGTTTTCAAGACTGATCAACAAAAAGGGAGATTTAATCCAGGAAACAGATAGCAGCTAACAAGCTCTAAGTGACATCTTACGAATTACTTCTTGGTAGAATTGCCTCGTTATGGTTTAGGGCTGGACAGGCTTCCATGATCTCAGACCTAGGGGGAGGTCAACAAATCTTGGGAAGAAGGATGTACCACTGCTAGTGAACCAAAAGAATACAGCATTTAGGGGCCACAAGGACATTTGGCAGAACCCCCAAGATACGGAAGAAACTAATATGGATAACTCAGCAACTGTGCTGAACCAGCTCCGACTGGGTAGAAAGGAATTCCGGCAGGGGGAGATCGTGACCATCGGCTTATTGCCCACTGAGTCTGGAAACCCACTGACTCAAAAGAAGAGAAAGAGTGAGCCTGCAGACTACTTAGCAGGAGAAATCAGAGAATCGCTAATGAATAGCAGATAGAATACTAACTAATGGAAGAACTAGGTAACTTGTAGCCAAAGAACATTAATGCCTTTGTTTGCTAAAATGTATAAACAGGAAAAAGTGTTGATAGCTGATGTGCTTGATTTGTGGAATGCTCCTGAACACCCAGGCTTGTGCAACTCTGAAATAAATGACCAGTGTCTCTGTCGAGTGTGTAATTATTGGCTTGTTGCACACCGGGGAACAAATCCAATTATTCTGGACAACAATTCCATGGCTCAGCACGGACGTTCCCCCATTCTCCCCATGGCGTCACGCAGTCCCTTCTGTCAGCATACCTGAGACCCAATGTGTGTCCCCTGCTGTGACCCTCCAGGGTCCTCTTCTACAGCCCTGCCACCTCCCCATGGTCCCCAGGACCCCCCCTGGCCCAGGGGAGCCAGACCCCGCTCAGCTGGAGCAATGGCCGGTGGCCAATCTCCCACCGGGTGTCCTCTGGCAGGAGGCCCCGCAGGGGCGGCCGCTGCCCAACCACAGCCCCCCTGCTTTGGAAGGGGCCGAGCGGGCGTGGGGCAGCAGCACAGGCAGAGCCACCACCAACAACACCATGGGGACCCTCAGCTGCTGCCTGCTGCTCACCCTGGCCCTGCTCATCCCTCACCAGGTTGCAGCCAGGAAGGTAAGGGCAGCCCTGGGGCAGAGTCTGGCCATGCTGTGCTGTGCTACCACAGGGAAGAGGGTGGCTGGATGCGGTTGTCACTCCCTGGCTGTGCCATGCTGTGCACCACCATCCCTGTGGTGCACTGTGAGCAGGCACAGGGCTGCCTGCTGTTGCTGTGGCAGGCTCTGCCATCCTGGGGTGCAGTGTAAACTGCCAAGGAGGCTGCCTGCTCTTGCTGTGCTTTCTGGTACCACGTTGTGCTGTGCTGTGCTGTGCTGTGCCACAGTCTGTTCTGCCATGCTGTCCTGTGCCATGCTCTGCCAGCCCTGGGACAGAGTGTGCAGGGCCTGGGGGGGGAGGTTTACATGTTTTCACTGTGCCATGCAGTGCTGGCCTGTGCCACCCCAGCTCACATTGTTTATGTTATTTCTGCCTGAGGGGCTGAATGCTCTGATGCAGCCTTGAGGTACCCTGATGTGCCATCCTATGCCATCTCTCACACCATGCCATGCCATGCCATGCCATGCCATGCCACAGTGCAGCATGTGTGAGACCAAGGGGCCTGCCAGCTCTGACTGTGCTGTCCTTGTAGGCACTGTTGGTCACCTGGGCCTGGGATAGGGCAGTACCCAGCACCCGCAGCTCTCCCCTGCCCTGCCCAGGGATTGGGAAATGCTGTCCCAGCTGGTGCCCATGCCATCATTCCCAGCTGCCACATGGAGGGGCCATGCCATGGGACACACCTCCCACTGCTCAGTGAGGCTGGAGGGGGGACCGTGGCTCAGCAGTACCTGAGGCACCCACACAACTCCCGGTCCCCAGTGTGACCTGCAGGGCCTGTGGAGGAGTGAGCTGGCCTCCAACACGACCCTCTTGGCCCTGAACACAGCCGGCACCTTCTCGGGCTTCTACCACACTGCTGTGACAGCTACCAACAAGCAGAGCCTGGGGTCACAGCTGCCAGGGGCCCAGCAGCACCCCGGTGCCAAGAGACACCCCACCTTCGGCTTCTCCGTGCACTGGCAGTTCTCAGGTACAGCAGTGCCAGCGATCCCCTGCCCGTGCTGGGAGTGGGGAGCCCTCCAGCTGGTCTCCCACAGCACTCAGAATGTCCAGAGGAACTCTGGCTGTGGGCACAGACTGCCCACACACACTTGCTTCTGCCCTGGGATGTGCTGATGGGACACTTTTCCATCTCCAGTCTCCACATAAATCATTCTACATTGATTCTCACTCCTTTATCCTTTGAATGTTTTTACCCATGCAGTAGGCAATAGAATGAACCTTGCCATCAAACTTTGTTAAGTCACGCTTTTGCAAACTGATATTAAACCTGCTTTTGCCAACACCTTTGACAGTGACACTGTAGGCAACCCAAATCCCCTGGGGGATGCACAGGGAACCTGTACAGGGCAGGGACAGGAAGCTCACCTGGTGGCTTTCCAGTCATTTTCAAGGTCATCCACGTGTAACCGCAGAAGCCACATGGTCCTCAAAGTCTCCTTTCCATCCTTGTCCACGAAGCATTGTCCCGTGAAAACAGTGATGGAGTCTGCAGGGACAGGACAGCAGCTGAAGCCAAGCATGACTAGGGTGTCAGGTCAGTGCCTGCCCCAGCACACGGGACAGTAGAGCCCTGCTGTGCCTGGCCCCTGGGACACTGGGGATGTGGAAAGCAGGCAGGAGGGTTCAGAGGGCTGGGGGTCTCGCATGGAAATGGGCAGACAGCTGTGGGCTTCAGTCTCTGTTGCATCTCCTGCCCACTGGGACTGGGAGGTGACAGCAGTCAAGGAGCTCCAGGGACAAGGCTGGGGGAGCATCAGGGGCACCAGAGGGGATGAGAGAGCACTGGCATAGTGCAGGGGAAGGCAGAGAATCAGCAAGGACGCTGCAGGGAGGGGCAGAAGAGCTTCAAGGGCATCGCAGCAGCGAGGGCAGGGCAGGTCTGGAGGCACACCAGGGAGGCTGGGAAAGGAGAAGTACCTGAAAAGGTCCAGTTGACAGTGAAGCCAAAGGTGGGCTGGTCTATTGGGTTTGTGAGGTGCAGGGAGCCCACCAGTGATGACTGCTGGATCTCGTTCGGGTGGTCTGCCACAGATGTGTTGTACAAGCCAGCGAAGTTGCCTTTTTCATCCACAGCCAAGATGGTCATGTTGGAGCCCAGGTCATTGACCCAGTGCCCGATCAGGTTGCACTGCAGCAGAGGTGACTCAGCACAGGTACCACAGCACAGCTTGCAGCTCTTGCCCACCCTGCCCACCCTGCCCTCTGCATCCCAGACCTGATCTTACCTTTTCTACAGAGAGGCTGTGAGCCCCCAGGGCCAGGCTGAGCACCAGGAGGAAGACAGTTGCTTGCACCATCTCTGCAGCAGGCAGACAGCTGATGTACCTGGGGAGGTGCTCCTTACAGGACTCTGCCAATGCTCCTGCTCCTTCTCCTTTTTATTGCTGCCAGGGCTGAGGGTGGCAGCTCTGACCAGGGCATTGGGCAATCTGGGTGGTTCCAAATTTACCAGCCATATGAGGGGTTGGTTTCAGCTGGTATTTCCAGAATCCCTTTGTTCCAAGATAAATGCAAGTGGACAGCTCAGGTGAGCTGCACCCTTATCCTGGTACCTCACTATCCTTCCAGTCTCACCACGGTGACCCTAAGGGAGAGCACCTTTGTCCCTCTTCCTTGGCTGTGGGCTCTGCCATGGGAGGACACCAGCTGGTCAAGGGGGGACTGCATCTGGGAACTTGCTCTTCCCAGACAACATTATTCCTCTGCCCAGGAACAATCCCCTAGGGAGCAAAGAAAAGACCATTTGTCACCTGCTGGCAGCACTTGGGCACCACAGCGATGTGCTGCCTGCATCAGCTCACAGAACAGGCAAGTGGGGAAAGGAAGGTCACAGCAGGCAGGATACGCTGCTTCCTTCCCCCAGCCCTCATGGCTATTAAGTATTAAGGGAGTTCTTTAGAATAAAAAAGATCTAAGGCAGAGAGAGTGAGCTTATAGCCCTGCCTGTGGTGTCCCCAGAGCTCTCCTGTCCTGCACTGTCATGTCATCAGAGATCTCCTTCCCTTCCGGTGGTGTCCCCAGACCTCCCCTGCCCTTCCTGTGGGGTGTCCCCAGACCTCCTTTGTCCTCCACCATGACGTCCCCTGAGATCCCCTGCCCTTCCTGTGGTGTCCCCAGAGATCTCATACACTACCTGTGGTGTCCCCAGACCTTCTCTGCCCTTCCTGTGGTGTCCCAAGATCTCCCCAGTCCTCCACTCTGAGATGCTCCTGCCCTCCCTGTGACATCTTTGATGCTCTTCTGACCTGCTGCTCAGGCCATGCTTCCTGCCCCATCCCGTGCTGTCCTCATGGACTCCATCACCGTCCAGAGGGGATGGGGCTCTCCCATCTGATGGCTGTCCTCTGGCAGGAGGCCCCGCAGGGGCGGTTGCTGCCCAACCACAGCCCCTCTGTTATAAAAGGGGCCGAGCGGGCGTGGGGCAGCAGCACAGGCAGAGCCACCACCAACAACACCATGGGGACCCTCAGCTGCTGCCTGCTGCTCACCCTGGCCCTGCTCATCCCTCACCAGGTTGCAGCCAGGAAGGTAAGGGCAGCCCTGGGACAGAGTCTGGCTGTGCTGTGCTGTGTTTTCCCAGGCAGGAGGGTGGCTGGATGAGGTTGTCACTCCCTGGCTGTGCCATGTTGTGCACCACCATCCCTGTGGTGCACTGTGAGCAGGCACAGGGCTGCCTGCTGTTGCTGTGCCAGGCTCTGCTCTCTGGTGCCATGCTGTGCTATGCTATCCTCTGCTGTCCTGTGCCACGCTGTGCCAGCCCTGGGGCACAGTGTGCAGGGCTTGAGGGGGTTGCATGTTTTCACTGTGCCATGCCTTGCTGTCCTGTGACACCCCAGCTCACAGTGTTTGTGGACAAGGGGCTGCGTGCTCTGGGTGTGCCCTGCTGTGCCATCCTGTGCCAAGCCATGTTATGCCATCCTACACCATGCCATGCCATGCCATGCCATGCCATCCCACAGCACAGCTTGTGTGACCGAGGGGGCTGCCAGCTCTGATGGTGCTGGCCCTGGGGGTACTGTTGTTCACCTGACCCTCATATAGGGCAGTACCCAGCACCCCCAGCTCTTCCCTGCCCTGCCCAGGGAGGGAGAGGTGCTGTCCCACTGGTGCCAGCAGTCCCAGATGCCAGGCAGAGGGTCTTTGCCATGGGACATGCATCCCACTGCTTTGTGAAGCTGAAAGCGGGACTGTGTCTTGGCACTGACCGAGCCACCCACACGAGCCCCAGTGTGACCTGCAGGGCCTGTGGAGGAACGAGCTGGGCTCCAACACAATCCTCTTGGTCCTGAACACGCCGGCACCTTCTTGGGCTTCTAGCACACTGCTGTGACAGCCACCGACAAGCAGAGCCTGGGGTCACCCCTGCAAGGGGCTCAGCAGCACCGGTGCCACCTGTACTTGCTCCTGCCCTGGGACATGGTGGGGGCAGAGCTGCCTGTTTGGGGTGGGTGGTGAGAGTGTCTGTCTGGGAGAGCAACACAGGCAGAATGGGAGCTTCAGGTAAAGCTTATTGAAGATGCCCTCCCATTGAGTCACAGGGTACAGAAATGACTCCCTTGCATACTAAACTCCTCCTCAGAGAGGAGTCTGGGTACAGATCAAGTCTTACCCCAGACTTTGTCAACTGTTTAAGTTTAAAGGATGATATAGGTGGAATTGAAACGTTGTACAACTTAGTCCCACAGGATTAAGGAGGGTAAACCAGTTATATATTTATAGAAATAAATGATTTATTATGATAATTAGACAAATATCTTTATTTAACTACACAGTATGGAAGCTACTATACTACTAGTATAGTATAATGCCACTATTTTGAAGCTATATTAAAGCCAGTAAAACCAATTGAGAAGTAGAATCTGACGCTACCCCCTCATAACAATGACTGGGGGCAAATTTTGCTCAGACTCAAGGAATAGCCTTGGGGTGTGTCCCCATTCCAGGGAGGAAACTCCACACACATCCCAAGCAGGGCTATGTTCAAGGATGTTGCTGTTAAAAAGTGGGACTGGGCTTTCATAGTATAAAATTATTGTCTGGCAGCCAGGTGTCTCAAGGCCAGTTGTGTCAGCTCAACAGCTTTAGATATGTTATCAGCAGTATCACTTGTGGGTTCCTTTATTTGATGCTTTACCAATCCGACCACATCTTTACCTCACTATTGGGGTGTTTAGCTTTAGAATTGATGAGTCACGCTCATTTCAGCCTTGTTCAACACCAAAAGCAGCCTGACATCCCCTTCTCCATTCACCACTGGTAGCTTTGCAAACAGGGCATTGTTCAAGTTGGTTTACACCCAGTCTGGCCAGAGTATCCCCATATACAGAAAGGTGGCAGGGGTGCCCCTCTCTCTGTCCAAGGGATATAGCAGGAGTCACACCCATCTATCTATCCACGGAGATCTGTGTGTCTGGGGACATGAGAGGAAAGGCCAACCAGGCTGTGGCAGCCTTCAAATGCTGCACTGGCAGAGCCAGAAGAAAAAGGAAGCACAGTGCCCAGCCCTGGCCAGAAGGGGACACAATTCAGTCAAGGGCTGCAGCCCTGTGACTCCACTGCTCCCCACAGAGGCCTCTTCAGGAGGAATGCTCTCTCCTCTGCTTCCTGCAAGGCAGGGTAAGGCCAGGAGCCAAGGAAGGAGCAGGTTGCACCTGCTGCCACATCGGAGTGGGCAGGCAGAGAGGCACATCTTGCTTCCTTTGGCAAAACTCCACAAGAGCCAGCCGCGATTTGGGCTGGCCCCATCCCTGCATCCCTAGCCCTCCAGGTCCAACCCCAGAAGAAAAAGGGAAGCAGCAAGGGCTCCCTCTTCTGGCCTGGTCCTCTGGCAAAGAAGACAATGAAGAATGAAAGGAGACAGCCAGACAAATTTATTAAGAACTTCAAGTGATTTATCCCCTTCAATGTGCTCCACTGCCTGCCCCCGGCACCAGCAGGGAGGGGGGCCATGGTACCAGACCAGGACCTGCTGCTTGGGCTCAGATTGTCACCGTCCAGGGAGCCGGGTCTCCCCTGGGGATTGGATCTGCCACAGGCCCTCCTGGGGCAGAGCCACTCAGTCTGTGCAGTGTCACCCAACCACAACCACCAAAGCCACGTGCCTGCGTGCACCAGTCCAACATCCTCACACACACATACACACACCTTTTATTCCTACAGGCCAGGTCCCCACCTTACCCAGCCCTCTGACTGCACAAGAGGACTCCTGTGCCACTGGGCAAGGGACCAGCCCCCGTTTGGAATGGCTGGCGAGCTTGCAGGCTTATCAGAGCCCTGAGCAATGGGGAAGGCGAGGCACAGGCTCCAGCAGCAACTCCTTAGCTCACACATCCCCCACACCTCTGGTCCCCCCCTCTTAGTGCTCAGCATCAGTGACTGGAGGCCCCTGAGGTCAAGGGCATGTAGTGGAGGTAGGGAAGGAAAAGAGCAATGGGAGTACTAGCACAGAGGGGGAGGGAAGGGTCCCTGCCTGCCATCTGAGGACCATCCCCAGCCCCTGCTGCACCCAGTGCCCCGCCCAGTGCCACCAGGCTCACGGGTGGATGGGGACCTGGCAGGGCGGTGCGGGTGCAGGTGCCCAGCCAGCCCGGCGCTCCAGGGCCAGCTGCATGCTCCAGATGCTGAGGGGCCGCATGTAGGCCAGCGAGCGGTACACCTTCTTCTCCCGGTAGGCCTCCGGCGTCTGGAAAGCCATGCCCAGCCGTTCCCACACCGTCCGGTAGCAGCCCTCCGCCGTACGGAAGCCTTCCTCCACCAGCCCCTGCGGCACAGGGAAGACGACCATCAGCAGCTTCACACAGCGCAAGGAGATGGCACACGCGCCCAGGGGGGCGCTGGCAGCGTCCCCACTCACCTCCTGGATCATGGTGGCAGCCAGGGCGTACACCACGCCGATCCACACCTCGTTGGACTGGACGCTGGAGGTGTCGGGCACCCCGTCGGGTCTCATGCCATTCACCGCCCCCATGGTGCCCCCTGCAAAGCCCAGCACGTTCTTCTCAAAGATGGTCCTGAGCGCGCTGACAACGTGACTCTTGGGGAAAACCTGAGAGGACAGAGATGGGGAGGGGGCAGCCTTGGGCTCAGTGCTCAAGCAGACCCTCAGCCTGGCTCTCCAGAGAGCAGGATTCAATTTCCTTGGAGGAAAAGGTCAACACTGCTCGCTGGGTCAGTTGACACAAATTTCCCACCTCACAAAAACAACCGCAGGAAGTGAAATCTCCTCTTTCCATGAAAACAACAGAACAAATCCCAAAATTGCTCAAGATAGAGATGCTGAATTTTATTCTACCTTCCTCTGGAGCAGGCTAACAGCTCATCCAACCAGTGCATCTCCAAAACCAGCTTCTCACCCACAGGCAAGGCCAAATGCCCTGCCATCTCCTGGGACTTTGCTTTGGGGACCTGGACACCCACACCACCCTCATTTCCTTTATGGGCACCACTTGCAAGATAGCAAAGATCCAGGCAGCTCATCAACACAACCCAGGGACTTGCCAGAGCCTGCTTGCCACTCTGGTGACACCAAAGCCAAGGGAAGCAGAGGCTGTGATGACACCAGCCAGGAGCTTGCCAGGGGAGGCTGGACACTTCAACCAGACACCTTGGCAGGTTCAAGGGAAAATCAGCAAATCCCTCTCAGCTCTGCTAAAGCCAAGCATCCACACAGCCATTCTTCCTCAGTCTGCCTCTGCAGAGAAGTCCACGGGCTGCTCTGGGGATCACCAAAGGGCTGGTGTGAAGCAGCCATCTCTGGCACAAGCTTTTGGGGCACAGTTTCCTCAGGACCGGGTCACAGGCTTCTCTTACATTTCATTACTGACTCGTGCACGCAGCAAGGACATGTTAATGAGGTTACAAAGAGGAGCGCTGCCAGCCAGGCAAGGGATCAAAATACATGGGAAAACACCTCGATGCTCACAGGAACAGAGGAGACCAGTTCATCAGTCCCACCTCCAGTGAGCTCAAAGCTCACCAGAGGGCAGGGAAAAGTGCCACCTTCAGCAACACAAGTCCAAGGCTAGGAAAGGCAAGGGACAGTCTGGAGTGCACCACCTTCACTGTTTCCTCCCCAGCGGGTATTACTGCAGGTCTGGGCCAGATCCTGCCTGGAGCCCCAGGCACAGCCCCAGTCCCACACTGGGATAAACACAGGAGGGCCTGACCCCAGGTCCATTTCATATTAAAGCCCACAGTCTTCAGCACAAACTCCCAAGTCAGGTCCTCTGAACTCTCCCCTCTGATTTACCAACATGTGGCAACAAGCTCAGTCACTCTGCACCTGCACTTAGTTAATGGGAATCCAAAGGGAAGACGGACCTTGCCTAAGTGCTTTGAAAGAGACAATATTGTGTTTCTCCACGTGGAAAACCACTTGGAATGGTCTGCATGTGTGTGATGTTCTCTGGTGGCTGAACACAGCCACCACCTGATGCCAGTGTGAATGTGTGGGATCGGGGCACTGGTTTAGGATGATCCTGGGAATTCCGGCTAACTAAAGTAAAACACCAGGTCCTGTTTACAAGAGAATATGAATAAAAGGGGAATGCTGAAAAGGATGGGTGGACAAGTCCCAAAATGGGACTCTGTGTGTGTGCAGCTCCATTTTTCTTTCAGTGCCCATACAACAGATGATGAAGTGGTTCATCACCCTCCCACACACAAAGTCACTCCTTCCTTCAGTCAGCACACTTGTCTACCTCTCCATCATCACCAGAAAGCTTTGGTCTGACAACTGCCCGTGAGGCACAAATAATCCATACAACGGCTCTCCGGTGCTCAGCTCTCTTCCAGATATGGCACCACCAGCTCTTCCCACCCAGCACACCTGAGGAATCTGCAGTCAATTCTTCTCTTGCAACTGAAGAGCAACAGACTGGAGGGACCCAAATAAGCCATAGTTCTCTCAGGTACGGATTTCAGTTTTTTTACGGCAGCAAATAACATGTGGAAAGTTCCATACACTTTTTTCTCCTGTTTTTAGACGCATAGTGTTTTGGGAGCAAGTTCTGTTGCTGGCAGCTGAATCCTGGCATTTATAACTATGAAACAGTCATCGCCAACCAGGTAGGTGCAGCAGGGTATGCAGGGGGAGTCAGTGGCACTGCAGCAGTCTGGGTCATCGGGACATCTGTCATTGGGCTCATCTCATTCCCTACATGTGTTCCTCTCCTCTCCTCTCCAGTTCACTGTGTGCCTGCATTCCAAGGGGCAGACAGTTTACCAGCAGGTCTTGTCTGTGGAGAGACCCAGCACTCTGCAGAGTTGGAACTGGGGCTACTGTGGCCACTATGCCTTTTACCATGCCCTGTACCCCCGGGTCTGGATGGTCTATGAGCTCCCGGGGCAGAAGGTGGTGCTCACTTGCTGACAGGTCTCTCCCTTCATCCCCCATGACTATAAGGCAAGGAGGTGATGACATCCCAAAGGGGTCTTCAGCTGGGGAAGAGATGGAGGATTTGGGACAGCTCCTGCCATAGAGACCTGTGCCATGGATCCGGCATCCCTCTCCAGCTCCTCTGCTGTGCCCAGGACTTGCAGACCCCCAGTGTTGCTGTCTCAGCATCTCTGTGCCCAACACTGGATGCCTTCTTGCCGAGCTGAGGGTGCACAGGTGGCTCTTGTCTGTCGTGGGAGAGCCCCTGGTCTTGCCAGCTCTCTCTGTGCCCCTTGCAGAGGAGACACATTTGGCTGTTTGCAGACCCTGGTGCTTTGGCTGGCCTTGGGGGCTGCTTGGTGGTGGCCTGAGCAGTGTTGGAACAGAGCCTTTTGCTGGGCTGTGGGAGGGCTGAGCTCACTGGGGTTCCTTCCCAGTCCTTTCTTAAGAGGGTGTTGACAGTTACATGTCTCCTGCTGAGGAGGGCCTTGGAGCAGCCTGGTGTGCCCTCAGCCCTTTGCAGAGGGCTGTGATCTCACAGCCAGCATCAAAGAAGAACACTGGGAGGATTGGGCTGAGACAGAGGAGCCTGAGCCATGGAGGGTCATGGCAGTGGAAACACATTGGCCTTGGGGATGGTGACAGGTGAGGCAAGGGAGTGCTGTGGTGGGGACAGGGGAATAGCGGGGCTGGTCTGCGACAAGACAGGAGACAGTGTGTGTTTGCAGCAAAGCTTTATTGGCAGAAGCGGGTGGTGGGGCAGGAGGACAAAATGTGTCCCTGGCACTGCTGCTGGCCTGGGAACTCCAATGCTGTCACCCTCACTCCTTCTGCTTTTTCAGGCGGGTGAAGACATTGGTGCCAACCCTGCAGGGACGGAGAGGGAGGAGATGTAAGGGTGGGACATGGGAGTTGCCAAATGACCGCCCAGACCCATATTCCCCTGAAACATTTGCACCTTGGCAGGACCCCCAGTGAAGCTGTGCACAAGCACCCAGCCCTCTGTCACCTCCACACTTGCAGCAGCTCTGCCAGGTGCTCATCACCACTGGGTGGGAACACCAACCCCCATTCCCATTCTGGGACCATTCAAGAGTCCTTGTTGGGCCTTTGGCTTTAGTAATGCCTCTCAGGTGGTCAAGCTCCCCTTGAGCTTATCAGAAACACTGTCCATACCACAAAGTATTGTTGCTAAGGAAAGAAACAATACTCTGGGAGCCTTGGGATGTGATTTGCCTGAATCATATCCTAATTGCTGGACTTGTGAAAAATTCCCATAAGTACTGTCTTGGACCATGTCCAGGATGGAGATGGACTGATGACTAAAGTCAATCATCTTACGACTCTACAACAGCATTCCTAAGTGAGGCCCCTCAAACTCTGCTGGACCCCCACAGGTGTCTGTGCCAACATATCCCTCTGAGCACATCTGTGAATGGATGTAAACTCCCTATAGCAAGTGTAGTAGGACTGCTGCCAGATTGGATCTATAGTTAAATCTCTCTTGCAATTGTGGCAAAGCATCCTAAAGCACTTTAGGATGTTAAATCAATCAAGGATTAAATGCTGTCAAATCCTTTAGACAGAAAGCACTGAGCAAGTCTTGGACTAGGATTGGAGTCAGCCACACCTAGGATCTCTCAGCAGTTCTGAAAGCAAGGGGGACCTCTCTGAACTCCAGTGGGATTCAATGGGAGCATCTCCCTTACCCTTTTCCATCTCCAGTCTCCACATAAATCATTCTACATTGATTCTCACTCCTTTTTCCTTTGAATGCTTTTACCCATGCAGTAGGCAATAGAATGAACCTTGCCATCAAACTTTGTTAAGTCATGCTTTTCCAAACTGATATTAAACCTGCTTTTGCCAACACCTTTGACAGTGACACTGTAGGCAACCCAAACCCCCTGGGGGATGCACAGGGGACCTGTGCAGGGCAGGGACAGGGAACTCACAGAGTGCCTGCCCAGTTGTCTTCAGTTGTGTTCATGTGACGCCGAAAGAGCCATATGGTCTTCAAAGTCTCCTTTCCATCCTTGTCCACGAAACATTGTCCCGTGAAAACAGATGTGGCCTCTGCAGGGACAGGACAGGAGGTGCAGTGATGCATTGGCCAGGGTGTCAGGTCAGTGCCTGCCCCAGCACACGGGACAGTAGAGCCCTGCTGTGCCTGGCCCCTGGGACATTGGGGATGTGGAAAGCAGGCAGGAGGGTTCAGAGGGCTGGGGGTCTCACATGGAAATGGGCAGACAGCTGTGGGCTTCAGTCCCTGTTGCATCTCCTGCCCACTGGGACTGGGAGGTGACAGCAGCCAAGGAGCTCCAGGGATAAGGCTGGGGGAGCATCAGGGGCACCAGAGGGGATGAGAGAGCACTGGCATAGTGCAGGGGAAGGCAGAGAATCAGCAAGGACGCTGCAGGGAGGGGCAGAAGAGCTTCAAGGGCATCGCAGCAGGGAGGGCAGGGCAGGTCTGAAGACGCACCCGGGAGGCTGGGAAAGGAGAAGTACCTGAAAAGGTCCAGTTGACAGTGAAGCCAAAGGTGGGCTGGTCTATTGGGTTTGTGAGGTGCAGGAAGCCCACCAGTGGTGACTGCTGGATCTTATTCGGGTGGTCTGCCACAGATGTGTTGTACAAGCCAGCGAAGTTGCCTTTTTCATCCACAGCCAAGATGGTCATGTTGGAGCCCAGGTCATTCGTCCAGTTCCCAATCAGGTTGCACTGAAACAGAGGTGACTCAGCACAGGTACCACAGTACAGCCTGCAGCCCTTGCCCACCCTGCCCACCCTGCCCTCTGCATCCCAGACCTGATCTTACCTTTTCTACAGAGAGGCTGTGAGCCCCCAGGGCCAGGCTGAGCACCAGGAGGAAGACAGTTGCTTGCACCATCTCTGCAGCAGGCAGACAGCTGATGTACCTGGGGAGGTACTCCTTGCAGGACTCTGCCAATGCTCCTGCTCCTTCTCCTTTTTATTGCTGCCAGGGCGGTGGGTGGCAGCTCTGACCAGGGCATTGGGCAATCTGGGTGGTTCCAAATTTACCAGCCATATGAGGGGTTGGTTTCAGCTGGTATTTCCAGAATACCTTTGTTCCAAGATAAATGCAAGTGGACAGCTCAGGTGAGCTGCACCCTTATCCTGGTACCACAGTACCCTTCTAGTCTCACCACGGTGACCCTAAGGAAGAACAGTTTTGTCCCTCTCCCTTGGCTGTGGGCTCTGCCATGGGAGGACACCAGCTGGTCAAGGGGGGACTGCATCTGGGAACTTGCTCTTCCCAGACAACATTATTCCTCTGCCCAGGAACAATCCCCTAGGGAGCAAAGAAAAGACCATTTGTCACCTGCTGGCAGCACTTGGGCACCACAGCGATGTGCTGCCTGCATCAGCTCACAGAACAGGCAAGTGGGGAAAGGAAGGTCACAGCAGGCAGGATACGCTGCTTCCTTCCCCCAGCCCTCATGGCTATTAACTATTAAGGGAGTTCTTTAGAATAAAAAAGATCTAAGGCAGAGAGAGTGAGCTTATAGCCCTGCCTATGGTGTCCCCAGAGCTCTCCTGTCCTGCACTGTCATATCATCAGAGATCTCCTTCCCTTCCGGTGGTGTCCCCAGACCTCCCCTGCCCTTCCTGTGGGGTGTCCCCAGACCTCCTTTGTCCTCCACCATGACGTCCCCTGAGATCCCCTGCCCTTCCTGTGGTGTCCCCAGAGATCTCATACACTACCTGTGGTGTTCCCAGACCTTCTCTGCCCTTCCTGTGGTGTCCCAAGATCTCCCCAGTCCTCCACTCTGAGATGCTCCTGCCCTCCCTGTGACATCTTTGATGCTCTTCTGACCTGCTGCTCAGGCCATGCTTCCTGCCCCATCCCGTGCTGTCCTCATGGACTCCATCACCGTCCAGAGGGGATGGGGCTCTCCCATCTGATGGCTGTCCTCTGGCAGGAGGCCCCGCAGGGGCGGTTGCTGCCCAACCACAGCCCCTCTGTTATAAAAGGGGCCAAGCGGGCGTGGGGCAGCAGCACAGGCAGAGCCACCACCAACAACACCATGGGGACCCTCAGCTGCTGCCTGCTGCTCACCCTGGCCCTGCTCATCCCTCACCAGGTTGCAGCCAGGAAGGTAAGGGCAGCCCTGGGGCAGAGTCTGGCTGTGCTGTACTGTGTTTTCCCAGGCAGGAGGGTGGCTGGATGAGGTTGTCACTCCCTGGCTGTGCCATGTTGTGCACCACCATCCCTGTGGTGCACTGTGAGCAGGCACAGGGCTGCCTGCTGTTGCTGTGCCAGGCTCTGCTCTCTGGTGCCATGCTGTGCTATGCCATCCTCTGCTGTCCTGTGCCACGCTGTGCCAGCCCTGGGGCACAGTGTGCAGGGCTTGAGGGGGTTGCATGTTTTCACTGTGCCATGCCTTGCTGTCCTGTGACACCCCAGCTCACAGTGTTTGTGGACAAGGGGCTGCGTGCTCTGGGTGTGCCCTGCTGTGCCATCCTGTGCCAAGCCATGTTATGCCATCCTACACCATGCCATGCCATGCCATGCCATCCCACAGCACAGCCTGTGTGACCGAGGGGGCTGCCAGCTCTGATGGTGCTGGCCCTGGGGGTACTGTTGGTCACCTGACCCTCATATAGGGCAGTACCCAGCACCCCCAGCTCTTCCCTGCCCTGCCCAGGGAGGGAGAGGTGCTGTCCCACTGGTGCCAGCAGTCCCAGATGCCAGGCAGAGGGTCTTTGCCATGGGACATGCATCCCACTGCTTTGTGAAGCTGAAAGCGGGACTGTGTCTTGGCACTGACCGAGCCACCCACACGAGCCCCAGTGTGACCTGCAGGGCCTGTGGAGGAACGAGCTGGGCTCCAACACAATCCTCTTGGTCCTGAACACGCCGGCACCTTCTTGGGCTTCTAGCACACTGCTGTGACAGCCACCGACAAGCAGAGCCTGGGGTCACCCCTGCAAGGGGCTCAGCAGCACCGGTGCCACCTGTACTTGCTCCTGCCCTGGGACATGGTGGGGGCAGAGCTGCCTGTTTGGGGTGGGTGGTGAGAGTGTCTGTCTGGGAGAGCAACACAGGCAGAATGGGAGCTTCAGGTAAAGCTTATTGAAGATGCCCTCCCATTGAGTCACAGGGTACAGAAATGACTCCCTTGCATACTAAACTCCTCCTCAGAGAGGAGTCTGGGTACAGATCAAGTCTTACCCCAGACTTTGTCAACTGTTTAAGTTTAAAGGATGATATAGGTGGAATTGAAACGTTGTACAACTTAGTCCCACAGGATTAAGGAGGGTAAACCAGTTATATATTTATAGAAATAAATGATTTATTATGATAATTAGACAAATATCTTTATTTAACTACACAGTATGGAAGCTACTATACTACTAGTATAGTATAATGCCACTATTTTGAAGCTATATTAAAGCCAGTAAAACCAATTGAGAAGTAGAATCTGACGCTACCCCCTCATAACAATGACTGGGGGCAAATTTTGCTCAGACTCAAGGAATAGCCTTGGGGTGTGTCCCCATTCCAGGGAGGAAACTCCACACACATCCCAAGCAGGGCTATGTTCAAGGATGTTGCTGTTAAAAAGTGGGACTGGGCTTTCATAGTATAAAATTATTGTCTGGCAGCCAGGTGTCTCAAGGCCAGTTGTGTCAGCTCAACAGCTTTAGATATGTTATCAGCAGTATCACTTGTGGGTTCCTTTATTTGATGCTTTACCAATCCGACCACATCTTTACCTCACTATTGGGGTGTTTAGCTTTAGAATTGATGAGTCACGCTCATTTCAGCCTTGTTCAACACCAAAAGCAGCCTGACATCCCCTTCTCCATTCACCACTGGTAGCTTTGCAAACAGGGCATTGTTCAAGTTGGTTTACACCCAGTCTGGCCAGAGTATCCCCATATACAGAAAGGTGGCAGGGGTGCCCCTCTCTCTGTCCAAGGGATATAGCAGGAGTCACACCCATCTATCTATCCACGGAGATCTGTGTGTCTGGGGACATGAGAGGAAAGGCCAACCAGGCTGTGGCAGCCTTCAAATGCTGCACTGGCAGAGCCAGAAGAAAAAGGAAGCACAGTGCCCAGCCCTGGCCAGAAGGGGACACAATTCAGTCAAGGGCTGCAGCCCTGTGACTCCACTGCTCCCCACAGAGGCCTCTTCAGGAGGAATGCTCTCTCCTCTGCTTCCTGCAAGGCAGGGTAAGGCCAGGAGCCAAGGAAGGAGCAGGTTGCACCTGCTGCCACATCGGAGTGGGCAGGCAGAGAGGCACATCTTGCTTCCTTTGGCAAAACTCCACAAGAGCCAGCCGCGATTTGGGCTGGCCCCATCCCTGCATCCCTAGCCCTCCAGGTCCAACCCCAGAAGAAAAAGGGAAGCAGCAAGGGCTCCCTCTTCTGGCCTGGTCCTCTGGCAAAGAAGACAATGAAGAATGAAAGGAGACAGCCAGACAAATTTATTAAGAACTTCAAGTGATTTATCCCCTTCAATGTGCTCCACTGCCTGCCCCCGGCGCCAGCAGGGAGGGGGGCCATGGTACCAGACCAGGACCTGCTGCTTGGGCTCAGATTGTCACCGTCCAGGGAGCCGGGTCTCCCCTGGGGATTGGATCTGCC